AAAAAACTAAAAACAAAAACAAACCCCTTTATTCAGAAAGATTAAGCAAATACCTAAAGTTAATAAGCTACTGAAGGATAGAGTCAATATTCAAACTTTTAACTGTCTATTCTTTCCCTAGAGCTCATTTCCTCTCCATAAATTATAAACTTTTTTCTTAACATAAGTAGTTTTTAATTTTATCAAAAGTATTACAATTCAATATCTATTTTCTATTTTAACAGAAAAAATATAAGTTCTTATATTTTATCAACTGTAGACTCAATTTCACACAAAAAAGTATTTTTCAACACTTACATGTTATTTTTTAATGGATCATATATATATACATATATATAAGGTAGTTTAATGTTCCATAAAGACAGAAAAATCAGATATTTGTCATATATGATGACTTCTTTTCTAATTTTCCTATTCCCATTGAAGTATTTTCGGATAGAGGTAATATGATACTTTAAAATAATGCAATCCAAGGGAATTTTAGTACATACATATTATTAATTTGCCATATCAGTCATTTGATAATGTTTTAACTGCAGACTAAAACTAAATGATAGCATTTAGCAGGAAGAAAACCAGTGAAGTAGAAAAAATAGGAGGAATTTTAATCATGGCAAACACATTTTCATTAAAGAAAGGTACAATACTTCATTATAAGAACTCTTCAATTATTCCTTCTGTAAGTTTTTTAAAGAACATCTAAGGTCATGTAAAATTTTAGGATACATTATTACCTTATTTTCCTAATATAAATTATTTTAACTCTGCTTCAAACATATATTTTTAATGCATGATTTTCTTACATTTTCCCTTCCATCTTTCTCTTTTCTCATTTCTTTTTATGTCCAGCTAACATGTCTGTACTATTTTTCATTTGTTACGTAAATTGATGTAATGCTGCAGTATTGATGTCAGTTCAGGGCAATTGATGCTATTATTTCCTTTAAGGATTTGTTTTGAATTGACTATACATAATGTTTTATTCCTTTATGTTTTTTTGATTCGTGTTTAGGTTTAGTTGAGTTGAAATCTCCAAAACTGGAAAAAAAATCTGAGAAGATTTCTATTAATAACTACTAAATAAGTAAGCTAATAAATAAATAAGTAAATAAACCATCCTACACTAATCCCCATGAATTACACAAATGGTGTATACAGTTGTAGCATTGCAGAATTTGGGCACGTGAAGAATAAGTGGCGACACTGGCAAGTAAATAAATGAACATTTTTAATATAAGCATTTCAATATTTCAGATAACAGTACAAAGGAAAAGATGTAAAATAATCATATTTCAAAAGCAGTATATACCCGAAAAAATTGAAAGCAGGTACTTGAACCGATATTTGCACGACCATGTTCATAGCAGCATTATTCATAATAGCCAAAATGTGGAAGCAATCCAAGTGTCTATTGACTGATGAATGCTAAACAAAATTTGGTGCATACATACATGAAATGTGAATCATGTTTTAAAAGGAAGGCAATTCTGACGCATGTTATAACATGTATGAACCTTTTGAAGACATTATATCAACTTAAGTGAACCAGCTACAGAAGGAAAAGTATGATTCCACTTGTATGATGCACCTCAAGTGGTTTAAAGACAGAAAGTAGAATGAGGGTTGCTAGGGCCTAGCAAGGAATAGGAAGTGATTGTTTAACGAGTACAGAGTTTTATAAAGTTGGGGAGGATGAAAATGTTCTGAAGATACATGGTGATGACAGTGGCACAGCAATGCGAATGTACTGAATGCCACACAGATGTACACTTACAAATGCCTTAAATGGTAAATTGTGTGTTCTGTATATTTAGCTGCAAATTTTAAAAAGCAAATAAAATATCAGAAAATACAGCAAATATCAAAATAAAGAAAAGGATAAATGGGGCAGCTTGTCCTCTTACAATGTTGAGGCCACCATGCAGTGAGGAAGAAGGGTTTTGGAGAGGAGAGGTCTACATGTCTAGGCTGGCCCAGCACCCAGCCCCCAGCTGAGAGCAGGTGCACGAGTTGGCCGGGGTGAGAGTTGTCAGCAAGATGGCTGACCAGAGACACCATCTGCCAGAGTGTCTTAGTAAGAAGGAGAAGTTTCATATGAAAGAGGAAAAAAAAAAATGAACAAACAGACATAGATCAGATGTGGGTCTGAAGAAAGGGTGCCAGAACCTTCAGGAGACTCCACGGGAAGAAGCTGCAGAGCAGAGCAGGAAGGAGCACGCTACTCACAAAGATCAACCCCCCAGGGGCTTGGAGTCCAGTGAGGAGGGCAGGTAGAGTGGTTTGTTTCTCCTTCCCTTGCATCTCTGACAGTTGGCAGACTCCTCGCCTGCTGGAGAGACTTTCTGCCCGCATGAACCCAAAGACTGCTGCTGCCAGTGAGCTGGAAGCTTCTTGTGGACAGGGCACCGGGCTCCCAGCCCCTGGGGCATGTCCCATTGCACAGGCCTGAGCTGGGACTGCAGGCGCCATATTGCTTCTCCACCCACTGTGCACCTTTGTCCTCCCCAGGGGGCTTCAACCCTTCAGGTCTCATCCTGTTTGTTCCCACACAGACATTTCCCAACTCAGGCCCAGACTGCAGGAGCCACAGGGGGGTGGGGGGCAGCAGGTCCTGTCTCTGGTGGTCTGCGTGACTCCAGAGCAGCCTGGACATTCTGGGCGGACTGCGGACCCAGAGAGAGGGATGGAGGTGACCAGAGTGCTAGCTTTCCTCCATGCAGACTCTCTTAGTCTCCTTCCCTTCCTCTACCTACAACTGCCAAGACAGACAATTGAGCCACCACAGTGAAGCTTCCACAGAGAGTGGGGCTCAGACCTTTCCTCCCAGGGTCATGCAGTGGACGGACAGGTGCTCAGCCTGGGAGCTCTCTGCTCACTGGTCCTCCCTGGTGCTGCTTGCCTGGGGGCTCCACCAGAGCAGGGCACACCCTAAGGCAGAGGGTCGTGTATAAATTAGCTAAAGTGATAAACTCTTTTGTGAAATAATCTTTTACGTGTAAGGAAATTTACTTGCCTGTTTATTCATTAATTTAAGTCCCACTGGACTTAAAACCCAGTAAAGTTAGCAAACTTGCCTGCACAGCTCATTTCTGAAATCCCAGAGTGTCTGGCAAATCCTACATCCTCAACTCGCGTTATTTGTGCTTTAAAGCTGCCCATTCTTCAAGGTCATCTCAAATCCTGACCCTTCTACAACCATCCTTTGCATCTCTCTATTCTCATGTGCTGATCTCTGCATCCTCGATAGAGTATTTAACACATTATTGTCACTCTTTGATTTATTTGCCTAGTTTCCAAATATCACTTGAAAGCAGAATTTATGACTTTAATTTCATATTACTAGGGTTACTAAGTAATTAACAAGTAATTAAGCTGTCAGAAAATGAATTATCTTTTAATAGTAAAAACATTGTCAAATTAATAATTGATATTTACTCAATTATTTATATCACTACAATAACCTAATAGCTTAAAAGAGTCTTTGCTTTACTTATTTCCATACAGTAACATGCAAACAGAGGAAATAGGGAATATTATCAATGTATTAGTTCACCAATTATATACCTTGGGCTAGGAGTCAATGTGTTGTGGGAAAGGGCCCTGCAAATTTGAGAATCCCAAATGTCTAGTCATGAGACTGCAAAGCATACTCTTAATATCCTTATAGGCCTGCTGACAATACAGACACTGTCAACCATGCTCACAGCCTTTAAGATTCTTGTTTTCTGTTGAGAATCTGAATGAGAAGTCTTATTTTAGAAGCAAGAAAGCCCTGAAAACTGAGCATGTCCTTTCCTTTCCTTTCTTTCCTTTCCTTTCCTTTCCTTTCCTTTCCCCTCTTCCCTTCCCTTCCCTTCTTTTCCTTTCCTTTCCTTTCCTTTCCTTTCCTTTCCTTTCCTTTCCTTTCCTTTTTCCTCTCCCTCTCCCTTCCTTCCTCCTTCTTCCTTCCTTCCTTCCTTCCTTCCCTTCCTTCCTTCCCTTCCTCCCTCCCCTCCCCTCCCTCCCTCCTCCCCTCACCCTCTCCCTCCCCTCCCTCCTCCCTCCTCCTTTCTTTCCTTTCCTTTCTTTCTTCCTCTCCTCTCTGTCCCTTCCCTTCCCTTCCTTCCTTCCTTCCTTCCCTTCCCTTCCTTCCCTTCCCTTCCTCCTCCCTCCCCTCCCTCTCCCTCCCTCCTTTTCCTTTCCTTTCCTTTTCCTTTCCTTTCTTTTCTCTTCCCTCTTCCTTCCCCTTCCCTCTTCCTCCTTCCGCTTCCTTCCCTTCCTTTCCTTCCTCCCCTCTCGCCGTCCCCTCCTCCATCCACCTTTCTTTCCTTCCTCTCCTTTCTTTCCTTTCCCTCTCCTCTTCCTTCCTTCCTCTTCCTCTTCCCTTCCCTTCCTTCCTTCCTTCCTTCCCTCCCTCCTCCCTCCTCCCCTCCCCTTCCTTTCCTTTCCTCTTCCTCTCCCCTCTTCCTTCCTTCCCCTCCCTCCCCTCCACTCCCCTCTCCTCCCCTGGCCTTTCTTTCCTTTCCTTCTCCCCTCTTCCTTCCCTTCCTCTCCCTCCTCCCTTCCTTCTTCCTTCCCTTCCCTTCCCTTCCCTTCCCTTCCACCTTCCTTCCCTTCCCTTCCCTTCCTTCCCTTCTTTCCCTTCCCTTCCCTTCCCTTTCCTTTCCTTTCTTTCTTCCTTTCCTTTCCTTTCCTTTCCTTTCCCTTCCCTTTTTTTTTTTTTAAGATTTTCTTGTTTCTTTATCATACTCAACCAAAAGAAGCCAGTTGACACTTTTCAGTCTTCTGCCTGAAATCTCTTTTGCCAGATCCACAAATCCACCAGTTTTTCTTCCTACATTTCCTGTTCCTGTAGGTTACAGTTTTGTTAATTGTTCTCCTAATACCCACTTTGGATCCTCTTTCCTCCACCCTCCAATAATTGTCTGCTCATTGTTCTTCAAGACCTCACCATCTCTTTGAAGCCCAATATTTGTCATGGCAGCATGTGGCTTCTAGGTGCCCAACCGTGCTCCAGTTACCTGCTGCTATGACATCTCACAGTTCTGTGGGTTGGCTGGGTCTCAGCAGGGAAGTTCCTTTACTCCTGGAGTCTCTCACTCAGAGCAAGATGGCAGCTGGGCTGGGAGCTGCTGCAGAAGGCCCAGCTCCTGCTGCTTCTCTCTCTGGGCTCTGTGTGCTGTGTTACTTTCCATGGCTTCTGCACACGGATCTTCCCTCCAACAGGAAGCCTGCACTTCATACATGGTGGCTCAGGGCTATGAGAGAGAGTGTTCCCAGAGTGAGTATCCTAAAAAAAAGATGCAGAAGTTTCCAAAGCAATTAGAGCTAGACCCAAAACTGGCACAGTGTCATTGCTCCTGTATTTTATTGTAGCAACAGATACAATCAACTGGAATCAAGATGGTAGGGGATTATGTAAGGTTAGAAACACTGAGAAATTCATCCTGGTACCATAAGTAGCCACCTAGTGTACTTGCTATTATTATTATTGATTTTTTTTTTTTTCTTAACCAAGATTGGCTAGAGTTTGAAGATAATTTTACAAGATGAATACCTGGAGCTGTATTTTTGAGGCAGCAGTTTGAAAGGGGAAAAAAGTCTAAAAAGAAAGAGAAATATGGAAAAGAAGCAAACAATATCAGGACAGTGAAAGGTTAAAAATAGGCCTTTCTAGATGTTGCTGCCAGCAATCAATAAAGAAAGTGCAAAGCTCCCTCAAGATATATTAGCAGCTAGGAAAAATTTCATCAGCAAATGTTTAATGCCAAAACTTGTGAGACAAGGCAATTATTGAGTGAGAATAGGGTGCTGAATGGAATCAGTAGGGGACAGAAAAGGTAACATTATCGGTACCTTGTGCAAAGCCTTAAAGAATCTTGTTCAGAACGCAAATGCTTTAGCAAAGAGAAATAACACATCATTATCACAAAATGTGAGGACAAATTATAGTACTGTGACTTTTTTAATAACCGTAACTAGAAATGACATATGTGACAATAATAAAGTATTCCCGCATGGATAATAAATGACCTGTTGAATATAGTACTAACTACTTGTAATATTTGAATTTATTTATTTGTCTGCAGTGGCGTTCAGATTTCGCATAGCTGTAATTGTTGAAAAAAAGTCAAAACGTGTTGGAATACTTTCAATCTAAAAATAATTCTATTGTCAGAGGTTAAAAAGTGACAGGAAGTCTTATGGTTCCATAAGGAGAATATGATATTTTTCATAATTCTGCACTTAGAATACTTTTGACAATTCTATTGATTTCTGAATCTCACAGAGCAATTGCCGTAATGCTACGCCTGAAGGGGCATATGTGTTCTAGCATTTTCGTTGAAAGACAGTTAAAGCTAAAGGCAATATTTTCCCCACAATCTTTACCCTGCTTTAGGTGTTATTTGAAGTAAATTTTTAAATTAGTCATTTATAAGATAATGGTACTGAATCTATGGACTACAATAGTCTTCTGTAATTTCAGTTTTACTGAGAAATTTTATTGCTATTTATAAAGTGTTTAATGTATTTTGGACTGAAAAATGGTATTGAAAAGCATTTTTAAAACTATTTTCATTTTTCTTATTTGAGAAATATTCAAAGAAAAAATACCAGCATTTTCTACCTCTAATCTCTAAAGCATAGTAGAATCATGGAAAAAATTAGGCATATTATTGTGATTTTTATTTCTATTTGAAATAATTTTATTATTTCATGATTAAAAAAATATAATTTCCAAAAAATATATTGAATTGTAAAACAAAAAATTAAATTGGATTTATAGATATGTAGTGGAAATACTTAAATTTATTAGTGGTTAATTTACATATACATGTTTTTCATTTGCATTGATTAGAATGAGATTATTTTATGCAAAACAATGTATAGCGGGAGACAACATGTAGGAAAAATAAATATGTTCAAGTAGTTAGGTGAATGAGAATGTTGGGTAACTTATTCTGCTATAGTTTGAATTTTGTTGAAAAACAGAAAGTTTTGGAAGTTGTAATTTTCAAAATTGTTATCAAAATGTAACTTGTGAAATTCCATCTATAATGTCAAATATCTGAGTGTTGATGGACAATTCTTCACCTATACAAGTCTAAACATTTTAATTATAATTTCAATATTAGTAATCTAAGATTTTATAAATTCTTAAGGACTTGACACATGTTGAAGCATGATCGGTATTCTACATTTACACTTGTTAATTGAGTAGAAATTTTTATAGATAATTTAAAAAAAAATCTTTAATCTTGGTATGTGAAGCATGGTAGATTATAGTTGACTGAAATTATCCAACTATTTGAATATTAATTCCTTTATTTAGAAACATTTTGAGAGACTGCAATCCATCTTCCTAGCAAGTCCAGAGCATATAATCTACCTCATGAATTTTCTATTTTACTAATATTATTTTCTTAACTGTGCTGCTTTGCCAAGAATATATTTCGAAGCCTTTAATCAAATCATCAATTTAATGGTCAGCATATTTTGCAAAACAATTCACCAAAAGTAAAATTTCATATTTTCCTGATACTCATTCTAGATATAAGAAGAATAAACCTGAGGAAAATCTGTCTTCCTTAAAAAATAATCATGACTTACAACATTCTTATACATTGATCATTTTATTTATCTTAATAATTCATGTAAATTAACTAAGGCAGGCATTATAGTTTCACATTTAAAAATGAGGAGCTAAATCACTGAGGTATTGATTGGCATATTCAAACTACAATAATAAATAATATTAATAAAACATTTTTCACAGCTATCCATAGACATGGATGTCTAGAAGTATTTTTATATTGGGAAAGAGTAGGAATTTAAGAATAAAACTAAATGATAAATAAAGGACTTAGAAATTGCTCTAAAAATGACTGAGTCAACAAAATAAACAGGCTTTCTTAAAAGCATCATTTAAAAGTTTTAGAAATAAAAATCTTATTTTGGCTGCACATCTCCTTATTACTCAAGTAAATTTAGACTGAATCTTAGCTGAATTGTTTTTAGCCATAGAACAAAATACATTTGATAACATAGCAAAAAAAAAGAGTCATTTTGGAGTTTTAGAAATAAAAAAGCTGAAAAATATCTTAATAACAGTTATAATGAAATCAATGAAATATCAGCTAGATAGATTTTCATGATTTTTGGCTTTTAGTTCTTTATTTCTGCTTTGAAATTGTGATGCTGTCTTTGGGTGTAAATCTGTAATAAGATAATAATAATAATCACCCTTTGATTTCAGCCTTTGCCTTTGTTTAAAGGCAAACTGACCAGGACATGGGTGTCACCAAGTAAAAGTAACTGACAATATGTAGCTAAGTTTATGTTTACATCAACATTATAATAGCTTTGAGAACATTTTGAAAATAAAGATAAAAAATTTTGCTTCTATAGAAATGAGTGAGATATAAAATGTCAGAAATAACTGTAGGTGACATACAAAGTATGCTAACCTATGCATGTGCCTATGACCAAGAGGGCCTTGAGGTTGCCTCAGTCTGGCTAAGGCTTGGCCAGACTCCTTCCTGCCTCTGTGCCCTGGACTTCTTTCCTATCCAGGCTTTTACAGAAGTGGGTGACCTAACCACAGTGTCATGTAACCTGTACTGGACATTGGTAAGAGATAAACATTTTATTGTATTAAGCAACTGGAATAGTGGGGCTATTTATTTTTTACAGTTCATAGTGAGTGTTACCCTATTTAACAAAAGCACATATATTTTACATTTCTAAAAATTCCAATACTGTTTTTGTATATTACTAGCTATTTTGTATCAAAAACTACTTCTTAAAAAAATCCTGGGTTTTATCATATTAAAATTAATAATATGCTACATGGAAATGGCTATGTTTGTTTTTATTTGGGCTTTATTTTTTATTGTATTCTACTTTCTTTTTTTTCCTTTATTACATCTTGCAATTTACAGGACAGGCGATCTGCACAGGTACAGCCGGAAGCTTCACGTCTTGCTTCACTGGGTTCCTGTTGGTGTCGTGCATGGCTGCCCTGAATCCAGGAAATAAACGTGCAGTAGTCATACTGCAAACCGAGTCTGTATATGCTATAAAAATAGTACTGATTTATAATTGGCGCTTTTTTTCCTTGCCTTGGAAATGATTCCGAATAGTTAGCGTGGGGGTTTTGTAGAGTTTTTCACTAAAACTTCCAAACCCATCAGCAATGCTGAAGAAAATACTAAACGAGCTAGATAACTCCCAGGTTTAAAGGCTTTTGTAAGTCGTTTATATCTGAGTAGAAAATCTCCAAGAGCCCTTAAGTATTGAAATATTAGCGTGTTTGTGCTAAATAAAAAATTGACTGTAAAAACTAAAAGAAAAAATAAGAAAAGATGGAAGAAATTGATGAAACCAGAGCATGACGACGCCCAGAAACGGCTCTTTGCCAACAGCCACCTCTGCTTGTGGCGCCCGATGCTTATATTTCCTAAGAAAAGAAGAAATGATTTCACACCATACTGAAAAGTAATTCCTGCTAGCTTCAACTAGATTTCTTAAAGTCAAGGTTGCAAAGTATTAAATAAAGATAGAAAAATCCAGTGTTCCAATGATTTGGAAATGTATTTAGGAGTTGAATGAGCATAACTACAGTTTCATGGATGCATTTACGTACCTACAGATTTCCTTTAAAGTTTAGTATGCTCATACTAGTTTTTACAGTATATAGAAGCAGATTAAATATGGGTAATTAAAAAATTTATTGGAGGAGATAAAAGTCTTTTTAAAACTTGTAAGTTTTTTCTTATGTAGACTGATAGTAATTATTGGGTCTCCATATGTCCTCCAGGTCAAAACGCTTTTTCTGAAATGATTTTTCTCCTAAACACAAACACAGATGGTTCTACCACATGCCCTTTAACCTACCTTACCATTTCCAGTGTCAGTACTCTTGGCCTTTTAATGATCTTTAAGTGGTTTACAGATTTGCTTACGGCAACACCACACTCTTTCACCAACACATAACTTCTCTGGAAAGGGCATTGATCTGTGAAATTTTGCTGTTTGTCATCAGATCAAGCTCCCAGCTACTTGACAGTGGGATTTATGTGATATTTATTAGGATAGGTTATTTATGATTTGAATCTATGCAAAACATTATGCAGTTAGACGTACAAACCAGAGCTTGGTGAAAATACACGGAAGGACTGCAAACCATGGTGTTTTCAAATACTGTGACAAAGCAATAAAGGTGACATTTTAGAAAAAAAAATGCCTCAAAATACATTATATAGAACATTTAATACATACACATAGACACACGCAAGCACTTCTTTAAAAGAGTAATAGAGGACCTTAGAAATGAACGGGAAAGTTATAATTTCTCTAGAACAAGAATCGTATTATCTGTATTCACATTTTGATAG